TCAAGCCATTCTTGAACTTCGGCCAATGTAAAATCGAACCCGGCATTATGTGAAACATCATAAAGTTTTTTACTAGTTCTTTGATATCCGGAAGGATGGTAGTATATTTTTTGTAAGTCAATACTAATATCAAGTTCACGAGCTTTTCTAGTGTCAATAGAAATAACTGGAAGCATTTTTACCATAATATATAAAAACATGAATAATCTCGAACAGAAAATCCAAAAGCTAGAAAAATGGCTCAAAGAAAGTGAGAAGCACATAGCATATTTGGAAAATCAAATTGGTATTCGAGATGAAAGCATTATCTTGTTAAAAACAGAGGTAGGCAATCTCAAACCACGACTTAAAAAAGCTTTACAAGATATAGAAAATAAGGATAAAATTATTCCAGCTCTCGAGTCGCAATTAATAGAAATGACTAGTGAAATATCTTCCCTTCGATATAGAATCCAAAAACTTCAAGAAACAATGGCATTAGATATGAGACACCTGCCATCTACAAATACACCAGTTTTCAACTTAATAATAGAGATGAGAGCAAATATTAAAATTTTAGGCGACTCAGTCAGAGGTAATAATACTCTTTTAAGGGATGAAATCGATAATCTTCAAACTCAAACAGAATTAAAATTAACGAAAATCCAAAATGGGTGCTATACTTTTGAAAACGAAGTAACTCAGTTAAGACAAGAAGTTATAAATTTAAAGGATATAAATCACAATCAGCAGGAGTTAACTAATGAGCTGGGTGCATTAAATGAAACCCTTAAGGAGCAAATTGATGACTTAACTGATAAGAATGAAACTATTCAATTCGAAATAAATGAGAAAACCAGATTATATGATCAAGCCCAAGACAGGTTAGATGAATGTCGAGAAGAAAATTATCAATTAAGAGAATCTTTACAAGGTGCACATGAAAATATTACAGAAAGTGAGTCAACATATGACAGGTTAAAACAGAAATTGCGCATCTTAGGATTAACTCATGTTGCATGGCAGGCTCGAAATTTAAGACAGGCTCAAATTTTGGATATAGAATTCAATACAGCAAGAACGGCTTGGAGGAATCAAAGAAATAGAAATCAACATATTACTCGGGAATTACAAAATTGTCAGAGTCATGGTAGGAATTTACAAAATGATAAGGTTCTTATTGAGTTTTGGCGAGATCGAATTATTCTTAGATATGAAAAATGGAAAAATAAAACACATGGCGCCTGACAAATAATTAATAATTTGAATCAGCAAATTTTTGCATTACAGAATAACCCATTAGCAAATCCAATCAATATGGCAGGTATACAAGATGTTATGACATCAATGGCACCATTACTTGCTCAAATTCCACAATATATAGGTCAAGAACCTCCAGATGATTATATTAATAAAGTTATACAAGTTTTTTCATATGGCACTGGTTTAGGTGTGGGAGCATTCGATGATGTGGTTAAAGCCAATATTTTAAAATCTAAAATGTCTGGTAAATATGCCCCAGTTCCTGTACAACATCCTGCTGGTACGAATATTAATACTCCAGCTCGATTCAGAGCTTGGCTTAGGCATAGATACCATGAATTAACTTTAGGAACAAGGCAGGCTTCTTTAACAAAATTAACACAAGAAAAATTCTTACCTACAGATATTCCAGAAACTTATGAAGAAAGAATTCGACTTTTATTATTGCAAACACCAAATGATAATGACGATGCATTGGCAATCTTATGGAATCACTTACCAGATGAGCTCTTTTCAAGAATGGAAAATGCGGCCCCAGCGGATATAGATGCATTCTTTACCAATCTAAAAAATATCTGGCTTAAGCGTCAACCTTCTACTTTTACATATAATGGAAATAGAAATTTATCCGTTATTACAACTAATTCATCTTCCATCCCATATCAACCACAACTGCAACCACAACCTCAGCAAAATAGGGCATTAGATTATTTGAATAGTGTTGCTGAAAGATTAGGTTACTCAGATTATGGATCACGAGATCTTGATAATTTAATAAAATTTATCGATAATGAATTATATAAAAGATTAGGTCATGAAAATTATCATCTTAGAAGAGAGCCTTTTGGTCAAGTTAGAGAGGTTAATACCAGAGTGATTACCAGAGCTAGTACTTCGGGTGCAAAAAAAGTATATACTACAAAGAAACCGCAGAAGCCTACTAAAGTTACTTACAAATGCTCAAATTGTGGAAAAATTGGGCATAGAAAAAATAAGTGTCCTAAACTCGGTAAGAAACCGAAGAAGGTTAATTATACTTATCAATCCGAGCCAGAAAAT